GCTCCGCGGGAGAAAGATGAGGCCTTCTACTCCCGTAAAGATTTACACCCTCGGAAACCCTGTACAGGGTCGCTATGGGTCGGAACCGACTCAATGGCACTTAACAACAACATCTATCTATCTATCTATCATCTATCTATCTATCTATCTACCTACCTATCAACTATCTATCTATCTACCTATCTATCAATCATCTATCTATCTCTCTATCTATCTATATTAGAATTTATCAGAATGGCTACGCTGTTAATGGTGTACAAACATAGACTACCATGGATGCTGTAATGACCACCCAAATCCCCTGTCTGAGGCGCTCAACCACTCATTTTCCCAGCTGCAAGGAGTGTTGAAAGTGTTAAGAGTGTTGTCAGCTGATGATTCACAGATGAAGTGAGAAGCTCTACTCCAGATTCTGTCCCCAGCTAAGATTCATAAAATTTATTAGGGTGGGGAGCAATCTTGACTAGGGGTTGGAAAGCCTGTGCTCTATACCCTCATTGCCCAAGAATTCCAGAGGATAACTGACAATATGATTAAGAACCTTCCTTGCTGGTCATATTCCTTGGTCCAGCAATGCCATTTAAGGAATTCTTCTAAGGAATCAATTAAGGATGCTTGTGGATATTTACCCATTCAATGTTCAGTTAGAGACTAACCTAAATATTCAATAGCATAGTGTTTGTTGAGTAATATATGCCATGTTTGTCGTGCATAACATTGTCAATGAGGTTGCATCATCTTTATTGATGTGAAAAACATGCTCAGTAAAGGATCAAGTGAATATGACAGATTATAAAACAGTAAACACAAAGGGATATATTTTTTTTCAGATTATATAAAACATTTAAAAATTATATTCCAAAATACTAACAGTGATTAACTCTGCTTAGTGATGACTGGATTAGGTAAGACATTATATCCACTTTTTAATTTCATGTATTTATTGAATGCTTTATAGAGAGCATATGTTTGATGTGTTATTAAAACACCAGCAACTTTATTTTTAAATAAGAAGTATCTCCAATTGTCCTTCAAGAATAACATTTGCTGATAAAAATATCACAAAATAAGTTATCTTTTTCCAGTTAAAATGACCCAACTCTCAAACAATGCCCAAATCAGAAAGAGAACCTCAACACTCCTTCTTGAAATATTTATGTGAAGAAGATATTTGTTAAGTGAGAAAAAGAAATCAGTTGGCACACACACAAAGGCCACTCCCAGGCTTGCTGGATTGCTCTCAGTTTAGGCTGATATTTATTTTAACTTTTCATCATAAACCACCAAGTGTTCCTGCTTATTCTTTTATTAATTAATCAAACTGGTAAATGTACCTAATTTAGTTTTGTGTAATATTCAGTGCATAATTTTAGTTAAACATTCAAAGTAAACATTGCTGAAATTTGTAAACTCCTCTCTTAAGTATATTCAGTTTTCCATTAAAAAATATTTATGAGTGTTTTTTCCTACATTTCCATGACTGGTATATAAATCCTCTATGGCAAAGAATTCATACTATGTGGAGGAAGTAAATGAGGCTACTTGAGGTGGTGGTGGCAGCTATGTGCCGTGGAGTTGGTTCCTATGCATAGTGACCCTGGATAGGGTTTCCAAGGCTGTAAATCTTTACGGGAGCAGAAAACCTCATCTTTCTCCCATCAAACTGCTGGTAGTTTCTAACTGCTGACCCTGAGGTTAGCAGCCTGACTTTTAACCACTACACCACCAGAGCTTTCAAATCGTTTCCTAGAACTGTGTAGTTTAAATACTATACCAAAAACCTGTCTAGTCTTCCTTAGGGGCAAAAGTTGTTTGACTTTTATGTAGCAGAAACACACACTGTATATTTTAATATTCTGAGTCAATCCATCTACTGGATTAAATTAAGCCTTCAGGGGGAGATGAGTACATGTACCAACATTTCCATTGGCGTAATTTCTCTACTCTCCCTTGACTTAATCATAAACCTCAATTCTGTCCTCCATTGGCTTCAAAGACAAAATTATTCAATTATTTTGTGTACATGCAACATAAGAGTGTGGTGATACTTTGGGATACGCACTGGACTGCTAGCCACAAGATCGTTGTTTTGAGCCCACCAGGTCTTCCATAGAAGAAGGATGAGACTTTCTGCTCCCATAAAGATTTACAGCCTCAGAAATCCTATACAGGATCACTAGGAATCAAAACCAACTTAACAACAGTGCAGCACGTAGCTTATCCCTTATCTGAGAAGAAGAGACACTGGGGTAAGGGTTGTGGTAAATCCAAAGGAGAAATGGCTCAACCTTTCAGATCATTTCTCCATGTCCATGAATAGCAAGTGGACATGTGACCTTGATTCCCTTTCCAAGGCTCTGAGCAGTTGTGCAAAGGTAGGTCTTTGAGTCCTAGACTCCCACCACTGTCTCCGTGACCTTAGCAATCAGCAGAGAGAAAATGCTCTCAGTTTTGCTAATTGTGGTAGTTATGGTTTTGTGTGAACTTAGCTGGACCAGGATTCTCATGGGTTTAGCCACTGAGATGTAGTTATCCCCCATGGCGAGATCTAATAGAATGTGAACAATGCTATGATGAAGTCAGCTATGAACAGCCAATCAACTGATGAAGGGAAGCTTCTTCCAGGGCATTTGCATAACCAGCTTCCAATGGACTGGATACTCAGGCGAGACTTGCTTGCTCTCTGCTGGGTCTAGATATTGAATCTGGCTTATCCTTCGACCTCTGTTTTTTTTTAACTTGAGCCTGTGGCCTGCTCTATTTCTTGCTAATTCTGGGAGTTGTCCACAGCCTGCCTTCTTACTTGCCGGAACTTCCTGCCTGTCTACCTGCCAATTTTGGTTCATCAACCCTGAAACTACAAGTGGCACAAGTCTCCAGTCTGACATCTGCCCAATGGACTTGGGACTTGCTCATTACTACAACTGAGTGAGCCATCCCCTTGGTATAAATCTCCCTTTATATATACATATGTGAACGTCCCTGGCTTTGCTTCTCTAAAGAACCCAGCGTAAGACCAAGTAACCAAGATACTGAGGATATCCTGGAACATGAAATGAAGTCACCCTCTCTCCTGTTGTGACTATAAAATATTGAAGATTTGATCAATTGGTACCTGCTATGACATAAATTAAGGAGCTCTGGTAGCATAGTGGTTATGAATTGGGCTGCAAAACTGCAAGGTCAGCAGTTCGAGACTACCAGATGTTCCGTGGGAGAAAGATGAGGTTTTCTGCTCCCATAAAGATTTATAGCCTCGGAAACTCTATGAGTTGGAACCAACTCCACGGCACATAACAACAACAACATGACATAAATTATGTGTTGCTGTGGGTTAATACATCAGACTGCAATATCGTTTGAACTGCATGGTTGGTGGTTCAAGCTCACCAGCTGCTCCTTGGAAACTCTATACAGGTCACTATGGATCAGAATTGACTCGACAGCACTTAACAACAACAACATATATGTTGGAATCCTAACTCCTAAACCTGTACAAGTAATCCCATTTGGAAACTTGGTTTCTTTGTTATGATAATGAAGACCTATCAGTGTTGGGTGTGTCCTAAACCTAATCACTCCTAAAATATACAAAGAGCAGATTCCATCCAGAAGTAAGCCCATACAGGAGAAGACAGAAGCTATCTAAGGGCAAGGAAAGCAGAGAAATCTACAAACCCAGGAGCTCTGAGGATTATCAGTTATTAAAAGCTGAAATTGACAGCGAAGGACCTCCATTTAGACCCTGCTAGGACTTCTAGCCTCTTGAACTATGAGAACTTTCTGCTTGTTAAAGCTACCCACCTGTGGTATTTGTGTTACAGCAGCTCTAGGAAGTTAAACTCACTGCCATCGAAACCCTATAGGACGGAGTAGAACTGCTCCGTAGGATTTCTGAGGCTATAAATGTTTATGGAAACAGATTGCCTCATCTTTTTCCCAAGGAACTGTGGGTAGGTTCGAGTTGCCAACAGTTAACAGTCCAATGCTTAACCCACTGTGCCATCAGGGTAAGGCCGCACCTCAATCATAATGGGAAAAGCAAATAAACAGTCAACGGTGCTGCTTAAAGTGATGAGAGGCATCTTGAACAACTAGTTACGTCAGAGTGGTTTCACTGTGATACACTAACCAGATAACAAGAATCTAAACATTGTCTGTCTGCCTCTACTTTTTATTTGTTATTATAATTATTTGAATCTTCTTCAGGGTTTCTAGCTAAAAATAAAGCAGAAAGTCTTCTTTGTCAGCACACATTGCAATTTTCCACGTTGTACTTTTCTAGGGTTTTGAAACATCCCTCTCATACCACAAAAACTTTTCTAATGACAATAAACACATAAAGATCTTCTGAATGTTCATTGCTCTTTCTTTCTTAGAAGACTCACAATTTTAATCACAGTGTAAGAATATAGCAAACATTCCAGCAACAGAAATCATCCTGATATAAAATATATTATAAAAAAAATAAAGATGTTTGGTTGAAACGGGTATTTATTTTATTTTACAGTGCACATATTCAGTCAAATTGTAAGAACAAAAGCACATATATCTCCACATGGAGATTCACAGAGTATACATACATGCCATTCTAGATGTGATAGACATTTTCAACCGGTTTTCATCCACGTGCCATACTCAAGTGCAAACCAACCATTATGGCTTGTGGTGGTTTAAAAAGGAAATGGAAGCATATCATTTAGCAAAATGCTGCAAGACATGTCTACGAAGAGTATTGCAATCAGTTTTTAAGGCAAGGGGTGTAAGTTTCTAAGCCTTACACAGGCTGTCCTGGGCAATGCCTGGCTTCATCCTGAAAAGAATTCAGCTCACACTTTTTTGGGATTTGTCCTCTTCTGGGCACTCCTGGCATTAATGTTCTTCTTGGGAGAACTGGCTGATTTGGGAGCAGGTGGCTTTCCCTTTGGTTTGGGTGGGTTACTGCGGCTGGTGCGTCCCGCTGTTCGCTTCTTGTCCTGAATTGTTTTCTGCTGTTCCTGAATAGTTCTCTGATGCTCCTTGAGCCTCTCTTCCCACTGCTGGGAGACAATTGATAAATGTGACTGTGAAATACAACTTCCCCTTTACGTTCTTAAGGTAAAATCAGGATTAATGAAATGATTTCATTGCAGTACATTAGCCAAACACCAATGGACATAATATCTTGAGTATTCAACCTCTTTAAAGTGTTAAAGAGCAAAAATGTCACTTTGAGGACAATGGTGTGCCTGACCCAAGCCATGGTATTTCTAATTTCCTTATGAGTGTTGGACAATGAATAAGGAAGACTGTACAAAAATTGATGCATTTGAATTATGATGTTGGCAAAGAATATTGAAAGTAACACGGACTGCCAAAACAAACAAATCTGTCTTGGAAGATGTACAGCCAGAATGCTCCTTAGAAGCTAGGATGGCAAAACTTGTCTATTTTACTTTAGAACAAGGTTAGGAAAGATCAGTTCCTAGAGACAAACATCATGCCCGGTAAAGGGAAGGGTCAGCTGAAAAGAGGAAGACCCCCACCAAAATGGATTGACACAGTGGTAGCAAAAGTGGGTTCAAACAACAATTGTGAGGATGATGCAGAATTGGGCAGTGTTTTGTTCTATTGTGCAGAGGGTCACTATGAGTCGTAACCAACTTGACGGCACCTAACAACACCTGGCCTGTGTGTCATTATGTTGGACTATGGTGACTTGCATGATGTCAGGATTCTGGAAGTTATACTACTTGTATCTCAAATATTACTGGGGCTACCTATCCATGGCAGATACGTTTCAGTGGAACTTCTAGACTATGACAGATTAGAGCCAAAGCCCTGACACTCTGCTTCCAAAGATTAGCCATTGAGCACCCTATGGGTCGCAATAAAATATTATCTGGTACAAGGCACTAAAAATACACATGGCTGCAACATTGGCTACAAGGATCCCAACAGTCATGAACATGGGGAAGAACTGGGCAGAATTTTGTTCTGTTATGCGTGTGGTCACCAGCAGACAGAGTGGGCTCAAAATTAACTAAAAACTCCCCTCATACAAGAGGAGACGCAAACTAAGAGAATCTGTGAAAACACAAGTGCTTCTAAATATATCTAAATACCCTTTATAGAGAGGAAGTGCTTTTAAAACTTCAAACAAATCACCTGGTTCTTTTGTTGTTGCTGTTAAGTGCTGTCAAGTTGAGTTAGGGTTATGGGCAGGAGCAACTGGTGAGTTTGAACAGCCGACTTTGCAGTTCAAACAACTTTGCAGTCTGGCATGTTAACCCACAGCGCCACACCAGGACTCTTGGTTCTTTTTAGTTCTGGTATTTTTTGGTATAATATTGCATCTCTGGATAAAATATTCTAATTATAATCCATTCGATATAACCACAAATATTTCTATAAAGTCACCAATGAAATCATGGATTTGACAACCAGATAATTACATTTAGTATATTATTTATTTTGACAAAAGTCTTGAAATTATTTTAAATACAGGGAAGACTTCTCTGTGTATAGTGATTGTATGGGTTTTAAAGTGAATGAATATTCACTTCTTTGAAAAATGTGTGTGCTTTAATCTCAGTCTATATAATTCTGCTCAAGTATCTAACTATTTGCTATAAAAGTGAAATGTTTACAGTACTGAAAAGAAAAAATGTAATTTAATCACAAAATAAGCAGTGGCTCGGTATTGAATTCAACCTAATTACATGTGAAGTTATGATAAAAACTCCAAGTGGGAAAAATATATCCGCCTTAACTACCTAATCAAAAGTCAAATACTTTGCTATTACAGGTGCCTATGTAAGGTTAATGGAGCCCTGGTGTGGTGCTGTGGGTTAATGCACCAGACTGCAAAGCCATTTGAACTGCAAGGTTGGCGGTTCAAGCTCACCAGCTGCTCCTCAGAAACCCTACACAGGGTCACTATGGGTCAGGATCAACTCGATGGCACTTAACAACATGTAAGGTTAAGGAGCTCTGGTAGCATAGTGGTTACGAATTGGGCTGTGAACCTTAAGGTTAGCAGTTCAAAACTACCAGCTGCTCCATGGGAGAAAGATGAAGCTTTCTGCTCCCGTAAAGATTTATTGCCTCCGAAACCCTGTTCAGGGTCACTATGGGTTGGAACCAACACAACAGCACTTAACAACAACAACATGTAAGGTTGGGTCTGAGAGAACATTTCCCACATGAATATGAGAGGACACAAGTCTACGGGATTTCTCTGCATGTACTTCAGTCCATATGCATAGTACTGACAGTTGTACTTACTATGGATCTTCTACTAAGTTGATCTCTCCATTTTTCAACTAAGCAATTTTCAAGAAGCATCATCCTAAAAGATAATGATAATAATGAGTCCTAAGAAGCAACTTCTGACTATAAAAGTTAAAAAGTTGAAAATCAGAATTAATGCAATTAAATTCACTGCAAAAAATTTCTAAATAAATAACAACCTTCAATAACCCTTAACCTCATAATTGGGTTAACACACGTGGTCCTATGGGATAATGTACTGGATAGCAAGGTCAATTGGAACCACAAGGTTGGAGGTTCAAATGCACCAGCCACTCCTCAGAAATCCTATACATACAGGGTCACTAAGAGTTGGAACTGACTTAACAACAATAATATTTCAGTTATATTTTCTTTCATTCCTCTTTGTGTGTGTGTATATATGTATATATACATATATATATACACACACATATACATACACACACATATACATACACACACATATACATATACACACACATATATACATATGTTGTTGTTGTTGTTAAGTGCCATCGAGTCAGTTCCGACCCATAGCGACCCTGTACAGGGTTTCC